GGAGCTGGAAGCTGAGAACTGGCGAGTTTCTAGTACAACTTTAGTACGCGGAGCAATCTGTGGAGCTGGAAGCTGAGAACTTGCGACTTTGTAGTACAACTTTAGTACGCGGAGTAGCTGGGGAGCTGGAAGATGAGAACTGGCGACTTGGTAGTACAACTTTAGTACGCGGAGTAGCTGGGGAGTGGGAAGATGAGAACTGGCGACTTGGTAGTACAACTTGAGCACTGGCGACTTTGTAGTACAACTGTAGTACGCGGAGTAGCTGGGGAGCTGGAATGAGCTGGAAGCTGAGAACTGGCGACTTGGTAGTACAACTTTAGTACATTATGCCCCATATTGCGGACGCGCGACAACCGCTGGTGTTGTTGGCTAGTTGTGGCTGCGCACACCTGTGTGCACAATACCTCGTACATCCGTCGTGCACATCACTCTCTTACACCTTCTCTCCCACCCCTCTGTTGTCGGAAGCTGATATCACTTCCTGACAAGGCCGTGTTGTAGAAGCTATTGAGACTCTGACTGCTTTGTGCTTTTAGAAACTTAAGATTCGTAAAGATTCATATGTGGGGTTATCCGGTCTTTTAATTTTCTTAATGCTTGGTCTGAGATCAGCTGTGTCTGAGATCAGCGGGAACACCATTTTTGAACCGTGGTTGTTTTTCCTTAATGCTTGGTCTGAGATCAGCTGTGTCTGAGATCAGCAGGAACACCACCTTGGAAGAACCTCAAGTCGCTGATCAAGGCCTACAGGTGGATCTCAGACGAGGCTGATCTCCAACTGCTGTGTGTAGAGCCTCAAGTCGTGGGGGCAGCAAAATGGGGACAGGGAACTTGGGACAGGGAACTGGGGACAGGGAACTGGGGGCAGCGCACTGGAACTTCGGACAGGGAACTGGTGACAGGGAACTGGGGGCAGGGAACTGGGCTGATCTCCAACTATTGTATGTAGAACCTCAAGTCGCCGATCAAGGCCTACAGGTGGATCTCAGACGAGGGTGATCTCCAACTATGTAGAACCTCTATGCACCGTCTTTTGTTTTCAAGGAACGCCAACCTCCTCCATCAGAGTTGCCCAAAAAAGTAGCTGACACACCCTTGTGTCTTGATAGTATCTATTATTCACCCTCCGATGAGGCTTCATTTGCAGAAAAGAAGAGGAATTCTAGAAGCTGATTGTGGCCCCCAAAACCTTGAAGTTCTTGCCGGCCAATTTACGTTCCCCGGGAGTAGTAGTAGTAGTAGTAGTAGTAGTAGCTGAAAATCTTCACGGTATATACTATTTGTTTCTTATTAAAACAACATTTTTTTCATTTGAAGTCAAAATAGATAGCCCAAAAAAAGCGTTAAACCGTTAGTTCGTTAAGTTTGATCTTTTAAATACGCTATTTTTGATACAAAAAAGACCAACTTAATTAATTAATGGTTTAATGATTTCAAGCCAGGAAAACGAAATGCTCTAAGTGCAGTGTATCGATTTTTTAAAAAGCTTTGATGTTTGGAGTTTTTCCTCTAGTTCAAGTTCTGTACAGGAGCTTAGCTGGCAACCAAAACAAAGACCTGAAAGGTTTTGAAACCTGGAGATCAGCATTGTCTGAGATCCACAGGTGTTTGCCTCAAACGTTGGAGGTCAGTTTTGCGTGAGACAAGAAACCTAAAGGTGAAGCTGCTTTTGATACACTTTTTGAATTTACTTTTTGGCTTCAAAAGAGGAGCCGTACATGTCGGCTGGAAGCCAAAAGCAGCTTCTCATTTTCTGGCATTTTTTTGACCGTCTATGTCAACAGGCTCGCGCAGATAACCGGAAAGTGTGGCTTGCTGGCAATTGCTGGCAAACAGCTAAGCTGTAACCAGAAGCCATCGACAAAGGGAAAAATAGAGGCCGAGCCAACTCCAGCGAGCATTGAACCAAAGAAAACAAACCTTTTGCAGACACACCCGGGGGAACAGAATTGGTTGACAGTTTTCACGCCCATTTCAGAGTCCCACTCTTTCATCTAGCATTCTGCCACCTCCGGCCCATGGTTCCACCTGCGCCAGCAGCAAATCACGCTCTCGACAACGCAAAGTAGTGCTTCAGGCTTTTTGAAACACAAGAGGGCACCGCCCCCCAGTTCCCTGCCCCCAGGTCCTTGTCCCCAGTTCCCTGTCCCAAGTCCTATCCAGTTTGGTGCCCCCACTTCCCTGTCCCCCAGTTCCCGGTTTGAGTTCCCCATCCCCAGTTCCCTGCCCCCAGTTCCCTGTCCCAATTCCCTGCCCCCAGTTCCCTGTCCCAAGTCCCCTGCCCCCAGTTCCCTGTCCCAAGTCCCCTGTCCACAGGTCCCTGTCCCAAGTTCCCTGTCCCCAGTTTGCTGCCCCCAGTTCCCTGCCACAGTTCTTCCTCCATGGTCCATGGACGTAATGGCTTGGTCCGGCACACACTTACAGAGAAGACGAAGCAAAGCTTCATCTGGCAGGTGGATCATTATGTTTTTGGATTCTCATTTCATGGAGACAGGAGACATGGAGAATATGCATTTAGCCTCATTACAATCAACTGAACCTGGTCCATATGAGTTTATAGAGAGGTGTGTGTGACCTGCAAAAGTTTGACGCCTGGTTTGTGCTTTATACACCTGGATACCGTGAACCTGGGTTCTGATTTCATGTAGAATGTACAATGTAGTTTGATGTTAATCAGCTGAAACTGGTCCACATTCCCACCTTGTGTTCCGCCATGGCGTTTGCGACCCTAAGTTTAGTACTTCACTAAGATTCCACTGCGCTTGATTCCCGTTCTTTTTGAACTTTTTTGACTCAGTGTGTAAAGTGAATTTCACAGACTTACACCAAACACCTGACTTTCTTTTTTTAAGAAACCCTAGTGGCACCCAGGCGTCTGAACACCCTAAAACAGTAATATTTAATTTCATTCGCGAAATTTGTCATACTTTTCCCCCTTCTTGCTTAACCCTGTCAAAGGCACACCAAACTTTATCCACTTCTTTTCCACGAATTTTCAATATATATTCCTTCAGTTTTGTTTTCAAGTTTCTCTCAGGAAAGCCGGTTCAAAATCAAGCACTTACCTTTTCTCACGATGCATGGTTGGATTCGTGGCTGTGCTCTTTTTGGTTCACTGTTTCTGCACCCGCTGTGTGCACAACCTGCTGGACAAGAGTGTCAACGCAGTGTCTCATATCTTGTGAGTGATGCACGGTCATGCCACAGCGACATCCACTCTACATTTACTCCAAAGATGGAATTCGGTGAAACTATTGGGAACCCTTGCTCTCAATTGGTTTCACCTCAGCCACAGAAGGGCAAGACAAGTGGAACGCTAGGCGTAACGCTGCTGAGAAAAGCACTCACGCTGATGGCAATGTGAAGCCATAGCAATCTGTCCTTAAAACTGGAGGGAAAAACACAAACTTGAAGTGTGGTCAAAACAGCTGTTTCTCGACCCAAACTCAGAGGCGGCAAAAAAAAACAAAAAATACATCATAAGGTCGTAACATTGACATCAGTTTGAAGCCCTGCATGGTTAAAAGCTGCTCAAAACAAAACACCAAGTGATGGGCTCATCCGTGTCGCGAAGGCTTGCCGACATCTTTTCTTCTCTAATCCAACTTCCATCCTGCAAATCCGCGATGAGCAAACTGGCAAACCACAATGCTGCAGAGGCAAGTTGAGACGGTGGTGTGCAAGGGGTTGGGTCAGGTGTGGTGAAAGAAAATGGCAGCTAATTCTCCTTGAGGCTGTATACGTCAATCTTGGACGTTTGGATGGGTGGCAAGGAAGGGTCAATGGCCTCACGCGGCGCCGGAAACCAAACACTAAATCGGTTTAGTCAAAGCATCAAGTTTGATTAAACAACAACAAGCTCTGAGCTCTGGACTTTCTTAAGGTCATCCACCTTTGAAATGAATCAAACTGAGCCAAGGGCTTTGTATAGCAACGTGATGACGACATGAACGAAGCATGCGACGAAAGCATGGGGACGAACCAGCAAGAAGGGCACAGCAAAGCTAAGGTCACTGCGTTCGCCAACTCTCCCTTGACTTGGAAAGCATTGCCAATCTGCTTGAATGTATCACCGTCCTGCAATTGCAACAGGGGGTGGGCGACAGCCAATGGCTGCGCCTTTCGATAAGCAAGTGCAAAAGAACAATGCGCATGACAAGCAATGCAATGCATTACGCAAGAATTTTGACCTTGGGATGTGAAAATGGCTGAGGGAAATTTCTTCATGAAGTTTCAGCTGAACAAACCACTTCTGTTCTTAACCTACCACTAGTCAAAGGCTTGAAAAGGAACAAAGGCATAAACTGCTGCATTGACTTTTGCAAATTACAAGCCTTTGATGCTTGAGTGGGAGAACTGACGGAGCACAACCCTACTTTTGTTCACACGACCAATCAACACCGGTTTTCGCACAGGAACTTTGCAAAGGAAGAAACAAAACGAACATAGGGATGTAAAAACAAGGTTGCTTGTTCAACAGATGCAACTTTCAACTGTCAACGTCTGTTGAGGTGGTACTTTTTTGGCTTTTCGTCAAAAAGTTCTTCCTACACCTGTCAAAAGGGCATAGCAAAGGAACAAGGGCATGGCAAAACATCATACAAAGTCTTAGACTAAATCCTCTCTATCAAATTGAGGAAAATGTTGAGAACATATCATTCAACAAATCCTGAGGAATAAATACGCTACTGCTAGTATTTTATGCGTAAAACATTTACTTCCCTCAAAAGAACATGGCAAAGGAACTAGCAAAAGGCAAAGAAACCATATGGTTTCCTTTTCCTAAACTGTCACCAGCATGCAACACCCTTTTTGCGCGCGATGGCTCAAACTCAGGCGTCCTTACGCCGTTTTCTTTGCCCATCTTGGGCTGGGGGATGGGGGGGTGGGTACCCTAACAGCAAACCTTGAGCCGCTACAGGTGAAACAGTTTTGTTACAAGAAAACCCCGTGCACACTGCGTTGAACACAACAAGTTTCCTTTTCCTAAACTGTCACCAGCGCGCAACACCCTTTTTGCGCGCGATGGCTCAAACTCAGGCGTCCTTACGCCGTTCCCTTTGCCCATCTTGGGCTTCCTTCCCCCCTCAGGAATCCGGACGCGAAACGCATCACGGATCCTTATTGAGAGGGTCAGTTTGGAGTGAGGTCTGCCGTGATCATTTTCTGTGCTACGCCTTTGGCAGTCTCTCGCGCCTCCCATATGTAGGTTTGGAAGCTGTCTGAAGCCCATCGTCCCCAGTGCTTCAGTAGGGAGGTGTCTTGGTACTGTGCCCACAGGGCACTTGCCCCACCGAACCTCAGCGAGTGAGCGCCCAGGTCCCCTTCCGGGAGTCCCAGACCTTTGGCTGCCCTGACGGATTTCACAACACACACCTTTTCCGCAGTGCGAAAGTGGTTTCTGACCTGTCCCCGATTGTAGATGTCTGTCTTGGATCCTCGCACCAGAAGGGTGACTTCGTCAACTTCGCTGATCCGGTTCAGCGCCACGGCATTGCCATTGAGCTTCAAGGTGACGTCGGACCCACGCAGGCCTCTTCTGGGATCTTGGTACCCGACATCAAGGTATTCCGAAGCCCGAAGTAGGAAGAAAAATCCCAAGGTGAGGGCGCCCCAAAGGAGGCTAGCTTCCTCGGCCCTTCCATACTGCAGATGTTCCCCAAGCCATTTCAACATGTCTGGAGTCACGGGGTCGCAACCCGGCCAGGGCAAGCGGGATCCTTGGCGTGTGCATCAAGAGATCTGGGTATCCCAACGTCAAGTGCATGCTGCGTATGGCGGAAAGTCGCAGTTTGATGGTGCCCGGTGCTTTGGCTTCATTGGAGGCACAGTGGACCAGGAAGTCGATGACCAGTTGTTCCTCTTGACGGCTATAGGCCGGAACATATCTGACTGGGTCTTCACCCCTTCGTTTGCAGAAGAGTGACCACCAGCTCCATTGCGACTGGTAGCTGGCGGCTGTGCTCTGCGAGTACCTCGAAAGTAACAGTGAGAATCCTTCTTGGTCGAATTCGCGCCGTCCTTGAACTTGAGCAAACCTAAAGCTCTTTCCCGCGGGGTGCCTTCTGGCAGCAGCCCTTGGTCCACCCAGGAAACGCACGTTGGGTTCTTGCACGACTCTTCTACCTTTCTTGGGGGGGCTGAATCTCACTTTCTTTCTGGTTCCGCCGACTTTGGTGGCCTCCAAATAGACCTTTGCCGATCCTCCTGGGTGGTTTGACCCCCATTTGGAAAGGAGTCTTCTGATGGCCAAAGCCATGGCTAGTATAAATGCCAGCAGTAGGCTGTCAAAAATCATTCCTGAAGCCTGATCGAGATCCCACTCAGCTTCAAGGGCGC